GTACCATAATTTAAATTTTTTTTAAAAACTTTGAATTTTCTTTTGATAACTTTGAAAAATTAGATTTTTAAGATTTTTAAGAAACCAAGCCAAGGGGGCGTCCATTAATCACGTGAGCGAGTTTTTAAGGATTTTTGGACCCCCCCTCCCCCTTGGCGATCCATGGTAATACCCAAAATTACTCCCCTCCCTCACCATACATCACGTGTATTTTCAGTTACGTGATAAAACTGTAATTTTTTTGAAAATGTTTGATTTTTTTTAAAAAGTCAATTAAAAAATAAATACACGTGATATGTTACTATACCCCTCCCCCTACGTAATATTTTGTGATTTTTTGTCAGACCCCCCTCCCCCTAAAAACCTCACGTGATTAATGGACGCCCCCCAACATAAAACTAGTGCTGCATGGCATTGTGTCTTAAGACAAATTGCTGGAACCTGTACCATAATTAATTTTTTTTAAAAACTTTAAATTTTTTTTTGAAAACTTTGAAAAAATTAGATTTTTAAGAATTTTGAAAATTTTGATAAAATTTGACTTTTTGAATAAATTGATTTTATCAATAGCTTCGAAACGGCTGGACCTGTCATGACCAAAAACTAGTCAATACGTCTCTTTATCAATAGGAATCGAATGTTTTTTGAGCACACACATACATACATACACACACACGTACATACATTTTTATTAGAGTATGCCAAATTGTTCAGAAATTTCTAAAACGTGAAGATAAGGAAAATGTTCATTTCGATTTTTTTGCTATTATAATAACCGGAAGTTATTTATGTCTCATAATGTGAAAATTTTGTTAATAGTGTGATAAATTGAAATGTATTTTGAATCAGTGTATAATACGTGTTTAATTTCATTTTGAATACACACATTATGAAGCCTTCTCTTTTAAATAAATGTTGTTACTTCAGTTACTATTTGATGAAAATTCCAAGCAAACAATCATTTTCAAAATTTAATTACACTGTTCCTATAATGATTGAAAAAAAAACTGCAGACAAAAATCGATTGTAAACTACTTACAAATAGAGCGGAAGAGAAACTCGGAAATAATTGTCGAAGAAAAAATTCAATGCCAATGCCAATGCCAATATCAGTAACTAGTGTTGGCCGCCGCCGCCGCCACCGAACATAGAAATGCGCTTGTCCGTCCGCCGCAATAGGCATTCCCATTGGCAAAATCATTAGCGAACGATTGACGGCTTCTGTCGAGCCAGTTTTTGCGATCGACTAAGAAAACGTACAGTCATTACTATTTCTCGTTAATGTTTTTTACCGTTCATTGTAAAAGCATTTTTCCCACTATCTAAAGCAAATATGGCACATGCTGTATCCCATGTTTTTATCTAAACGTGCAAAATTATCTGCAATTCGTTTTTGCGATTCGTTTTTGCGTTTGTTCTAGAAAAGTTGATTGCACTTCATTATTCTTTAAATATAAAATATCAATTATAGGTAATTATGTTTGAAATTATTCATGGGATAATGTTTATCGTAATTTCATGGAAACTCTTCTTTTAAGTCTTTCACAAAAAAAGTTACTTATCAGTGTTGAGGACCATCAAAGTAGTAAACTCATATTGATATTAGCACAGTATAAGAAACAAAGACCAAACTATTCATAACTAGGTGTAAATGGAATAAACAAGCAAGTTGCATAAACTTTTTTATATGATATACCATATAATAGAACTAATTGATAAAAATTAAGAATAAGCTATTTAGACAAAATTCTCAACTGTTTTTTTTTTTCAAAACAAAATTTCGCATTCGATAAAAACTAACAAATGCAATTTTCTATTATGTTTCAAACAACTTTGACTATTTATAAACTTATATCATATGCAATTATATTAATTATAGTCCACGAACACATTCTTATATGTCCTAAAAGCACAGCCAATTATGCCCAATTTTAATGATTTTATATAATTAAAACAATTTTCGTGAGTCTTTAATAGTTTGGTGAATTTATTAAATGTATGAACTCTGTCGTCATGCTACATTTCATTAAAAACGATAAAAAATATTTTTTAACATTTAATTTCAAAGAAGAGACCAACCTTTGCCAAAAACTATGCAGCACTATTCTGAAATATCTTTTGAACAATTTTTCTATTTTCAAATTCGTTCTAGATTTTTGCGAAAACGAGCACAAAAAATGCGCTTAAATTTAAATTGATAGATCATTATTCATATGTTAATAAATATTAGGTTTTCATCTAAACAAAACTTCTTAAATATACTATA